GCATAATCAACTCCTGTCTTCTGAAACGGAGGACTAGGAGTGACTCTGCAATCGGGAAGATCACCCATTAATTGAGTTTGAGTTCTTGACTTGTATCACTTACAAGTAAAACAATGACTGAGTTCTGCGCGCACTACTTCACGGCCTCGTAGCACCCAATATTTTCTCCTGAGAGAGACAAAGACCATTTTGACACCTCCATGTAACATGGTTCGATGAAAGTAGTCAATCAGTAGTCGAGTGGTGTAGTCGTAACCATAAAGTATCCGTGGGTGTTTAGAATCTGAATCTAATAGCGAGTTGCTAAGCCTACCACCTATTCGTAGAAGTTTATGAGTAAGCACTGGTGTAAGTTTACGTAAGCGACTAAACGATGGAAGCTGTTCAAATTCATCAGGCTTGAGACCTTGGTTTCGTCGAAGAATAGCTAAATCGGCAGCAAACCAACGTTGCTGATGTGTGTAGACTAACTAGAGTGCAGCATTTTCTAATTCCTCGATTGATAGGTTGAATAAAGCCAAATTAAAATAAGTATTTACAGAAATAAAAAGTAATTGAGGTTTAAAATTGTCAGTATGATTTTTTGACTTTCTTTGAATTATTTTGACAAGGAGTCTATAAACAAATCTAAGACAGTAGGCAGTTACTCGAAGTAGTCTTTCCCATTTGGAATAACGTCCATACAATCCATTGACAAAGGTATCTAGGCCTTTATCCTTAACTAATATATTTACATGCNAGAGCAATCTAAGTATGTAAGATCCAGCCAACAAAAAAACGCAAAAAATCTTTTTCTGGCGAAAAGCAAACCAAACGTTTTGCACCGGATATAAATAACTATGATTCAATCAGAAATACGGTTGCAAGTGATGTAATTAACTCTTATGATCTTTCTTTGACTTAAGTGATATTTGAGTTGAAGAGAATTTAAAAAAAGTTTTTTTTTAAAGATTAGTGCAATCATTAATAATTAATTAGTTAAATCGTAAAAAAAAAATTTTTGAACTTCAGCTAAATGATTATAGTACAAATTTCTAAAGCGATAATAGTGATTAAAGTAATATATTGTTATTTTTTTGATAAGTATAAGAATAGTTTTTATGTTTGTGCTATTTTATGTGAGCTTATAAAAAGTTTTATAAATAAAAATGGGATGATTCTAAAAATAGTTATTTATTTCTTTTACTCTTATACCATCCTACTATCAAACTGAAGAAATATCTCCGCACTCCCTGTACCCCACCCGATGACACTCCACACCTCCTGGGGGGTACAGAGTGTCCATTTAGATGACTTAAAATTATTGTTTTTACACCAATTAATAATTTTAAAAATTTTATTCTAAATTTTGAAACATATTTCTTACACGTTTACCTCAACGATTCCACAAAAAAAAAAAAAAAAAAAATACATATCTTTATTTATTTTTTAAATCATCTTCTTCAGTTATGGTGGCCCCCATACCCCACTCTCCCCTATTGTTTAAAAATCTTTAAAAAAAAACTGTTTTACCACAGGCAGTTTCACCGCGCATCATACTTGTCAACGGTCGATGCTTACAGGTATCCATTATGACACTATGGGACGATGATATTTCGCCTGATTGATAAATCGCCTAATGGATGATATTTCACCCAATTTTTGACGTTATGCCTAATTCTTGAGATTAGGCCTAAATAAATTTTTAAGAAATAAAAACAAATCTTTATATTTTTTTAAACTAATATTTCGCCCAATTCTTGACATTACGCCTGGAAAAAGTTTTTAAAGAAACTCAAAACTAACTTTTTTTTTTTTTAAACTGACATTTCACCTAATTCTTGACATTTCGCCCAAAAAAAATTTTGATGAAACGCAAAAAAAACTTTGATTGTTTCAATGATTATTCCAACGAAAATAAATTTTATTCATGGAAAAAATTGATCAAAAAAACAGAGNGAAGTATCTTCAAGGAGGTCAATTTTGAGCTTTGGGTATTTGGGTTGGAACTCGTGTAGTATATCTGGGCCAGAAAACCATAAACGCTGTCCACTCATTTGACTTGGATAAATTTCCCGCGAGGCGATATCAGCTGGGTTTTGCTTAAACCTAATATGATGCCATTCAGCTTTAGGTACTAGCTCGTAAATATTAGAGCATCTGTTGGCAATAAAGGTAGGCCACTTAGAAGGTGGAGCATTTAGCCAATGCAATACATTCAAAGAGTCGGTCCATAGGTGGACAGGCGCTTCCTTAACAGGACAACAATCTGAGAAATGTCTAATTATTTTCGCAAGAAGCTGAGCAGCGCAAAGTTCCAACCGTGGAATACTCAAAGTCTTAATTGGGCTTACTTTGGTTTTAGCTAGTTGAAGAATTACATCAACCCCTTGACAATACAAACGTATACAACTGCAGCATAAGCTGACTTAGATGCGTCTGCAAAACCATGAATTTCAAAGAAATCGAAATCAGGCGAAAAGAAATTCCAGCGAGGTATTGTAATTTGGTTCAACTGGGGTAATTCGTCCAACNAATCATTTGTGTTCGACATCAAATGAGTATTACAAAACATTAACTATATAGAAATTATATATTCTTGCGCTAGCAATTAACTTTAGTATTTTGTAACCAATAGCGTGAGTAACATGGTCCTGCGTGACCACCAATCATAGCGCTCCACGTTTAAGTTACTTTGGCTGCTCACGACTGCTCGTCTGTGAGCATTTAGTCAGTCCGCACCGATCACTTGTCCAGTGAACCACAGTGTGGTCACTGTGCACACCAACCAAGCCGATATTTTCTCGAGTAAATCATTTTAAATAGAAAGAGAAAATGTCTTGTGTAATTTACTCACGTGACTTAAACAACATCATTTCAGTTCAATTATATTAGTAAAATAACTGTTCTTTAAGTTCGTTCAATATCCTTAAACTAGCGCGCATTAAACGTAATTTTGTTATTTACCACAGTTTTTCAATTTTTTCTCATCAAGTGTTATAATTTCTGCTGTTAATAAACTTTTTTATTTTGTTATATACAAACAGGTGTGAGTGTTAATCTTTTAATAAATCCAAGCAACTGGCTCCCACTCTTTTCCATCGCAACCGGTAAATTCAAATCATACAGTCTAAAATCATTGGGTTTTTAATCCCAAACATTTGTCCTTCGAGTCGGATCAAAAGGGTGAGTGAAGAGCTTCGGCTTATTATAAGCCACGTGCAAGTTACGAAGTCAGCTATCTTAACCAACTTTTTCTTCACGAGCGACGTGTGGACGTGGTCAGCGTGCCAGCGCGTTGGGCGTATCTTTCTCTCTCTCACACATATTTGTATACAACAAAACTTGGTACTTGTGGTAAGTTCAGTGCTTTCTTCTCATCGTACACGAACTCGAGTACATATTCGTTGGCTTCGTTTCGTAGCTTATTGCTAGACTTTTCTCGTGCAATTTGTCGTCATGTTTTAGTGCACAGGCCCTAGTACATACTTGCTGGCCAACTTGTTCTTCCTGCGTTGCGCAGACAGACTTATTTTTTTTGTTTCGTGCACTGGCTCGAGTACTATTACTCGTTTGCTACTTTGGTAAATAGCTTTTCTCTTTATATAAAAGCTCAGCTCATTTTTAGCTGTACTAGCTCGAGTACTATTACTCGTTTGCTACTTTGGTAAGTAGCTTTTAGCTTCATATAAAAGCTCAGCTTATTTTTAGCTGTACTAGCTTGAGTACTATTACTCGTTTGCTACTTTGGTAAATAGCTTTTAGCTTCATATAAAAGCTCAGCTTATTTTTAGCTGTACTAGCTTGAGTACTATTACTCGTTTGCTGCTTTTGTAAATAGCTTTTAGCTACGTAGAAAACAATTGGCTTATATTTAGTCTTGGCCTTCGTAGCCATATATACATAGTGCTCTCTTGCACTTATAAGCACATGGCTCGTACATAGTCGGCCATTGGTGCCCTAGCTCTTCTAATTTTCTTTGTGTGCCGTACTTATAAACCTTCTTGCTCCACAGAACAACAAGGGTTTTATTGGCAGCGGGCTAACACTTACGGTGTGTTCGCCTATCACAGCAGGATATCATAGCACTTGAAAGTGCTTCTAATCATAGCTGCAGGCTGCCCTTGCCTGCCAGTTCAACGTAAACTGTCGTTGTTATTGAGCCACTTTAATGCTTGGATACCCATTGCGTGGGCCTGAATACCTGTGCACATAATATCAAGGTAGTACCCTGGTTGATGGACAGCAGTCAGTACGAATGTACATTAAAGAAAGAGAAAAATAAATAAAATAAACAAAGTATTGCGTTTAAATTAAAATTTGAAAATATCAATGAAGACCGCTTGTCTGCTTACAAAGATAATTATAAAATAATGAAATGAACAAAATTTTAAATTGGGCTCAATTACTAGGTATTACATTTAAAATTTAATCAATTCAAACTAATATGCTCTCCTTTTTTTTATATAATCAACATTAAATTCTTGTTCTAAGATCCTATTCTAAGTTATTGGCGTCAATTCAGAGCTAGTTTTCAGCAGAATTAATTTGTGAATGGGTCTAACTAAGACAGTACTGCTGGTCCTAACCCTTACAACTCTGACTAGAGAGTTTGGGTCTTTAAAAATCTCTATTATTCGACCTAAAGGCTACTTGCCAGGTGGTGTCAACTCATTTTTTATAAGGATTGAATCTCCTACTTGCATTGGACCTTTGAGGCGTAAGCCACTTGGATCGAGCCTAAAGGGTGCTGAGGTACTCTGAGGACCACCTTTTTAAAAAAACCTGAACAGACTGCGATATTAATTTCCATCTTTGTTATGGAGAAACCCTTCTAGTTAGAAGGTCGTGGATTGGGACAAAATAAGAAGTTCTCAGGGTTAATAAATATGCAGGAGTTAATGGATTTAAGTCAAGTGGATTGTCTGTCGGGGGCAGAGTGGACGAGAGTTAAGGCAAGACTCAATGCGACAGAAAAAAGTTGAGAATTCAACGAAAGTAAAGATTTGGTCACCCACAACTCATTTTAGATGAAACTTGGTTGATTTCACGGCTGTCTCCCAAATACCACCAAAGTGGGGAGCAGCCGGTGGATTAAAATGCCATTGTGTTCCTAATGACAACAAGTTATCAGCAAATTGATCTGACTGATGTCGATCCTTAAGCATTTTTCTGAGCTTGTGGTCAGCTCCAACAAAATTTTTACCCTGATCACTGTATAAGTCAGCACAGTGACCTCTACATAAGACGAAATGCTGGAAGGCCGCAATATACGACTCTGTTGAATAATCTTCCACAATCTCTAAATGTATGGCTTTAGTTGCCATACACACGAAAACAACGATATAGCCTTTGAGTGTGCCCTTTTCACGACATTTTGATAGTCGAACTGGAAAGGGTCCAGCATAATCAACTCCTGTCTTCTGAAACGGAGGACTAGGAGTGACTCTGCAATCGGGAAGATCACCCATTAATTGAGTTTGAGTTCTTGACTTGTATCGCTTACAAGTAAAACAATGACTGAGTTCTGCGCGCACTACTTCACGGCCTCGTAGCACCCAACATTTTCTCCTGAGAGAGACTAAGACCATTTCGACACCTCCATGTAACATGGTTCGAT